GGGGTTCAGGTCGTCTCCAGGTTCCTCTGTGGCTCTTCCTCATTTTGGTCCTTCTCCTTCACGCCCCACTTCCCTCTCCAGCAGGCAAGGAGAAGACAGTGGCCATGGTTGTGGTGGGGTTTCCCTCTAAGGGGTGCAGGAGAAGAGCCCTTGCTGCCCAGGCACCGGAGCTGCTGGCTTAGCCCTCGGGGGGGATGGCGAGCCGAACAGGGCTGAACACCACAGACAGCCTAGAGCCACTCTCCATCCCTGAGCAGTCCATCGCCCAGGAGGTGGTGGGCCTCCTCTGCATGGTCCTGCTCACCCTCACTGCCCTGGTGGCCAACACTGTGGTGATGATCGTCATTCTCAAAACCCCCCTTCTCAGGAAGTTCATCTTTGTCTGCCACCTCTGCGTGGTCGACCTCCTCTCTGCCATTTTCCTCATGCCCCTGGGGATCATCTCCAGCTCCTCCTGCTTCAACAGGGTGATCTACAGCATTGCCGAGTGCCAGGCCTTGATATTCCTGAATGTCTGCTTCATCAGTGCCTCCATCCTCACCATCTCCATCATCAGTGTGGAGAGGTACTACTACATCGTCCACCCCATGAGGTATGAGGTGAAGATGACCATCAGGCTGGCAGTGGCCGGAGTGATCTTCATTTGGGTCAAGTCTGTTCTCATCACTGTCTTGGCACTAGTAGGCTGGCCTCAAGGCAATGGGGCCACCAGTGCCAGCCGCTGCACAGTCTACTGGAGCCCTGGGGCCCAGAAGAAGGTTTTTGTGATCATCTTCAGCATCGTCTGCTTTGTCTTGCCCACCATCATCATCTTTGCTGTCTACTGCAGTGTCTACCGCGTGGCCCGGATGGCATCCCAGCAGCACGTGCCCGTGCCAGCACAGGCAGCTGTGCCGAGACACCGATCTGATTCCATTGCCAGCCAAGTGACCATCATCACCACCAGGAACCTGCCGCTGCCCAGGCTGACGCCAGAGCGTTTTTTGGGAAGCAACAAGGCCATCCTCACCTTGGTCCTCATTGTGGGACAGTTCTTGTGCTGCTGGCTGCCCTTCTTTGCTTTCCATTTGCACTCCTCCGTTGTCACTGGCACGGTGGGTGGTGGGCACGGGGAGATGGTGGTCACCTGGATTGCCTACTCCTCCTTTGCCATCAATCCCTTCTTCTATCAGATCCGGGAGGAGCTGGCCCGGCTCCGGCGCAGCTGTCTCAACCGTCCGCTGGGCCAGGAGCTCTGTCTTTCTGTTTCGGAGGCCTCTGTCCAGGAAAACTTCTTGCAATTCCTCCAGAGAGCGAGTTGCACGCTGGAGACCCACGCCAGCTGCATCAGCGCCAGCCCCAGGAACAGGTTGGACCAGACCAAGATGGGCTTCCCCATCCCAGGTCAAGTTCCTGAAGAGAGCAGCTGAGGAGCAGGGGACCCTGTCCCACCGTACTGGGCAGGGGAACTGCCAGGGACCCGTCGGACCTGCTTGGACCCAGCTTCTTGGACTTGGAGGGGTCCTTGTTCAGGTTTTCCTCTTCTCAGCTTATGGTAGAAGATGGTTTCTCGGCCTGGGAGAAGGCAGCAGATCTGGGGAAGCCTCATCTCCCTTCTGCAGGCTGGGATCCTCTCTGTCTCCACCAGCACAGCACAGTTGCATGGATGGGCTCTCCTTGGGACGCAGGATGCCAAGGGGCTCCTACGCGAGGGCAGAGGAGGGGGCACCCCCATCTCCATCACCCCGCTGGAATCACTCGTGGGGAGCAAGGAAGAGCAGAGGTCCTTTGCACCCTACCCAGGAGCAATGGCCCAGCTAACACCACTAACACCAGTAACACCAGGGCCATGGGCACCCTGCTGAGCCTGGACGACCAGCGTGGAGCCCTCCATCCTTGGCTGTTTAACCCAAAACTAACCTCTGGGTGGAGGAGCTCCCTTCACCTGTGGTACTTAACAGGGGGCCGGCACCCACGGGGTGGGTGGGGTTTTTTTCGTGTTTTTCCTGCAGCGTGCAGTGCCCATGGCCGTGCCCTCTGCCCTGTCCCCTCCCAGCTGGC